AAATATTTCCAAGTAATAGAAACACGATGAAGGCAGCAAGAGGAGACGAGAACTACCTGACAGAAATGATTGAAATTGAAATAAACCCAAGTACGAACACGAATTTTCATTTCCTAATGCATTATTTCTAATTTGTGTATTAATTATATAAATACCTAAATGCTAAATAATAGACAAGCTAAGCACCTAGACAAAGTACGTCAAATTATCAAATAATTTCTATGCAATATCCAGGATGGACTTAAAAAAAGCTGCAAACAGTCGATAAAAATGGATTACAGACAAAGTTAATATTAAAAAAAATTGTCTGATATTCGAATTGTTGAAGACAAAGAATTCGATCAAACTTCTCCAAAAGATGATTGAGTTGGCTGCATTGCATATGTGAGGCGTACTCAAGTTAGATGTGAGGGGTTTTTTTGTTTGAATGGATTCGCTCCAAGATATTTAACAGAGAAGTGAAAAAAGTTGGAAATACTTTATTTGTGAGGAATACAGTTTAAAGACTGCAGATGCTGTGGAACTGTCTTCCGGAAAACGTTTGAAGACCGGGTTTGACACCTGTTGAATTCATCAAACGTTATAAATCACGCCTTTTTTAATTTGTTTGAACCTGTTTCGGAAGGTGTTGAAGAGATTCATTTTAAATCTGCTATCTATAAACGATAATTTATAATAACAATAATAAAAACAATAAAAGTAATGTATCATTAATAGAGGCATGCATGTACTTGAGAGCTTTTAAAGTTTTTCAACTTGAATATTAAACAGCTTAAACAGCACCAGGCGACCTAAATCACTAAGCCATTACGACACAAAAACGTCGTACATTTATAGAATAAATAAGTTTCCATGTTTAAAAAAATTGAATTAATAGCAATAAAGTTTTACTAATTTTATGATCAGATTGAATAACAAATTTTAAAGTCCAAAAGGAAAAAAATCGAAATTATTCTACTAAAACAAAATTGCAGATAGTAGGTAAGTGATTCATTCCTGTTAAAAATCTAAATGAAGCAAATAAATTAATGATACATGTTGATTTATCAAATCCTGCATCTTGAACTAACATTTAACCAAACTAACCCAGCAAAACCGAAAAATGACCAAGTGTCATTCATAGCGATTTGTAAAATAGTCTTGCAACGAGAAAAAGGACTTCAAGCAATGTTTATAAGATAATTTCGTTTGGATAACTTTTTCAAATTTATATTTATTGGTAGTTTCAAATTATAGTTACAATTGTTTGATTTCATTGATAATGTAATTGATTAGTGATAATTATTAAATCTATAAAATCAACAAAAATTAGCCTGGCACGGTCTATAGAATTCAACACTTAAATAAAAAAAAGTAGTAGAAAAATTTATGAAACTGATTTAACTCACACTAACTTCTAACCAAAAGCTTGATATATTACGTATCATAAGACAGGTTAGACTTACAAACAGCTTTTATTTTCAGTTTAATAAATTTTTATATTAAAATTTCCATCCTAAGATTAACAATTATTTTGCATCTAATTGTAGAAAGTTGATGAATTTTTGTTAACACATTGTTTGGTGGTCATGCCTTGTTTGATACTTGCTTGATACTTGTTTAACACTTGCTTGATACTTGTCTGATACTTGTTTGATATTATTATTCAAGTTTTTAACTGATTTTCCTTTTCATAAAAATTGTTTCAATAAGATTTCCTTTTTCTGAAATATTTGCTAAATCTTCTGGTTTGTTTTTCTCATTGAATATAAAATTTCATAGTCTTCATTTCATCATGTTTTTTTCAACAACAATTTACATTTTCAACAGACTTCACGTGAGAACTACACACAAAATAATTGCACCTACCGCTATAATATAGATGCCATACATCTGCTTTCAAACATAAAGGCTCTTGGCAAAAAACAGTACCAAAAATATCTTTGGTGTATTGTGGTGTAAGTTGCTGATAATGAAGTAAACACAATTGCATTGACGGGCGTTGCTTAATTTAGCAAAAAATTGAATCACACAGTCTAAAACCATTAATTATTAATCTATTAATATTTAGAATAATTTGAATGATGATGTTGTTAATTGCAGTGATTTGAATAAGTTTTAAAAAAGTTGGATGATTTTCTTGTGAATGCTAAATTTAAATACGATTGGAGAGCAAAGTTGAAGGATGACAATTTGTTAATGCTGTTTATAGATTTTTGATGGTGGTATAAATGTTTGTTTTGACACGATTGTCTTTAAGAGAGGACGATATATCAATGAATGGTTGAAATTGGAATTTTTGTGAAGAAATCATCATCATCATCATTACCATCATCATCATCATCATCGTCGTCATCATCATCGTCATCGTCATCATCATCATTACCATCATCATCATCGTCGTTTTATCATTGGTGATGTCATAGAAAGGTAATTAGGACATCGGCCACATGATGATGTGTGTGCTAAAAAATTTACAGTTACCAAAAATCTTTTCCTTACAGACCCCAAAGATACAGATACACACAGACAGACACAAACACATAAACACACACACTCACACAGATATACAAAAACTTTAAGGTATATATACACATATATATATATATATATACATATGTTGGTAATAGACCATAATTTTTACAATATTCTATAAATTCTACCGAATGTTTGGCGTTAATAGGTTTGTAGTTCGTTTTTTCGATTTTTCTCACTAAAGTTTTTTGGTGAACGTTTAGTTTATTAAAATTCAAAATAAACTTATTTTTCGAATTCATGCTGCAAATAAGGCCATATTTCGTTAAAGTTCATCTTGACAAAGTCAATATTTCCTTATATATACAGCAAGGAGCACTGATAATGATTCATTCGGAATCGAAAAATCGAAAAAATGAACTACAAACATATTAACGCCAAACATTCGGTAGAATTTATAGAATCTATCCTGAAACATCCAATATTAACTCTATCTATGACTGATATTGGAAACATTCGATCTAATTAATGACGAGTTTTTCATTAATGACGATCGTAACAAAAACATGAAACGTGAGAAAATAACTTTGATATTTTTGAAATGTTTGTTCTTATTAATCGAATAAACAAACAAACTTTTTGAAAGACATTTGCTTATAAAATAATAAAACAAATGTGAAAATTTTTATATTTAATGAGTTCATAATTATTTTAATCGTTACTCAGCAACAGTTCCGGCAAATCTACAAAATACTCTTAAAATAATTACATGAAACCGTTTTAATTGGTTTAAATTTTAATTGAAGAACTTGAAACAAGAACGACAATTATATGTAATTTTAAATCGTCATTCTTTATTTAATCAAAAAAAAACAACAACAACTTCTAGTGCCTAAAATTCAGTATAAAAAGTTTTTCCCAAAAAATATGATTCAAGCAACATATACAATGGTAAATCGCTACTCGATCAACTGCACCCCTCTCGCTAATTTATGCATGACGTCTCTGACAGACGTTGTAAAGGTATTATCGCTTAGATTTTTTTTTACTCTTAATCATTATATTACTTTTACTGCCTTTTTATTATTTTTTATTGTATTTTGATTGTACTTTTTCTATGATATTATTATTTTGCCGTAATTTATAATTTTTAATTGTTTTTATTGTTTCCGAATGTTCCTTTTATTTTATTTAAAATTGCAAACATTTGTAATTTTCGAGTTTAATTCATTTGCGGGAAATATTTCTAAAGTAGAATCTAGTTTTTATGTTTCATGTTTGAATATTCATCACAATTGAGGTTGTCATTTGCGTTTGTAGATTTTGTATACATGGCTAGTATGTGGGCCAATGCCACATTTAAATGCTCGTTTATCTCACATACGCACTCGGTGGTGTATGCGTCACGCACGAGGGACGCCCCGTGGTTCGTTGTATCCGAATATACCATTTTGATTCGGATAAAACGAACTTCGATCTCCTGGACCCGTCTAATTCCTACTTACGTACATTCACTCCTCTTATTTTCGCTGTTTTTTTTTTTAATTTTTTCACTTGTTGTAATATCAAAACGAATAAAATTTTATATTTACGAAATCTACTCAGTTGTTTAATGCATCAATTAAGTTTATCTTTATTATATGGTATGATACCTCATTATTCATATTATTATTTTGTCGTTGTTGTTATTATTATGATGGTGATTATTCTTATTATTATTATTATTTGTATTATTATTATTATTACCATAGGCGCCACCTGTTTAAACGATGAAAACGAGCTATGATCGATTAATACATTTTAATCAGAAAATAATTCATTGAAACACGTTCACACGCTCTTTTGCTTAACATTTTGCTTGTGTAAAGCAACGCGCGTATATCCGCGATACACGTACGTATTTATGTACGTATTTATGTATGTATTTATGTTTATACGTACGTGCCTGTGCATATATACACTAGGTATGTGTATATTTATGTGTGTACCTATGCTTATGCGTACATACTTTTACTTATCTGTTATCTGCTATGTATCTATAGTAAATGTACTCCTCAAATGTAAAGTGTCTTCATAGGTGATAACACATGTTTCAGTAAATAAGTAAATATCATACCTATAGGTTTCTCTAATACCTATAAAAGCCTGAAGTTAACGTAGACATATAAAAGAATATAATAATAACTGTTATTTGCTCAACTATAAGCTTTTGTTCAGAGTTTGAGTAATATTAACATTCCTTTTATGTTAATTTGTATGTTAAAAATTAATTTATCATCGTTAAGGTTGACATTATTAATTATTTCAATTTATGTACGTGTGTTGCAGAGCTCACCATAATCAAATTTTTAATTTGATCAAATCAATCGGATAGTTTCACAAAATAATTTATTTGTTAGTCAGTGTTGGACTGAATAATCAACAACAGAACTGCATTGTTAACCATGTCTTGAAATTATTTGCGAACGTGTGATCTGTTGTTCATTAAACTTCTAAATAACTCAACTCGTGAAATTTGGCATAGTTTCCATCACATCTCAACAAAAATGTCATATGTTACACTTCGAAATTTGTTAATCGCAGGAAAAGATGGGATCGAACTGCCGTCCATTGCTCAAGGACTCCTAAACGATCCAGTGCCAGAGCATGTTGATGTGAGTTGATGCTCTTTCATTGTGTGGTTGTGGTCCATGTTACGTGTGACTGGTGCTTGTTAATGTTACTATTATGTGTTTCACTATGTATGTAAATCGTTCTTCCATGTTAATGTTTAATATGCTTTTATATAATATGCTTTCTCGTGTTTTATCATCATATTACGTTGTGTTGTTTTTAAATATTTTTTCATTCCTTTTAAAACTATCTGCTTTTTCAATGTTCCAAAAATGTTTTTAAATGCATTAATGTGTAAATCAGTATTTAATTTAATAATTATTTTATGACAAATTTTTAACGTAAGTTGTGTTTCTAGATTATTTCGTCAATGTTTTAGTTTTTGATTTTAAGATGTTTCATCCTTAGTGAACAGCATTTCGTGTTGAATGATTGATTTATTGTTTTGCGAATGTTGAATATTTATTTTAACATTATTCATTAACTTTGACAGAGAAGACTGTTTGAGTACATAGTGAAAAACTTTGAGAAAGTTGAGTGTGGCCTCTTCAGATCGACGGCTCAGGAGTAGGTTGAACTTTAAGTTATTGACTTCATTATTTTAAAAATCCGCAGCGAAACTAACTTTACTTATGAAATTTCATTTACATAACATGAACCACACCAAGAGAATAGTAAGATGAAATAAATGTTCAAATCCAATCACAATATGTCGTTGATTAAAACGAATAAATTGCTATAAGTATCACCATTAGAATGCTTCTTTCAAAGTTTCGGTTGTAGTGAGTTGAAACCGAGTTGTTGTGACGTAAGACTTAAGAGGCACTATTTTTACTATTACAAACCACAGACGATGATGTTTATCTTCCAAAAACAATTTCTTTTTAGTATGAAAAATGACACTAACATTTAAATTTAGCAATTGACAAAAATCTGTCATTCAAACTCTGCTCCGTCATAAAAAACCATTTGTTTTTAATATCCATATTAACAATGTGGTCGTACTGACACTGACTTCAACAGAATGTTACAAAATAATTAATGCAGTTGAATGATGAGCGTTTTAAGCCAATACCATTTATTTTATATTCGTCTTATATTCACGATGTAAAGTAGTGGAAGAGATGTTGAAAGATTATAGTTGATTGAAAACAACTGCATTAAACAAAAGCATTTGCATAAAAGTATTTTAACAAATAGTTTTTGGACTTATTAAGGATTAGATTTTATATCAAAAAATAAATTCAACCAAATTACAAAATAATATAAGCACTTCATCTATTTTATATTATAATTTACAAATTCCAAAATGTTGACAGAAACGTGTGTGAATGCGGCAACATATTCGCGAATCATACGGAGGAAGCGAAGGCAGCAGGCAAGCTCTTCTCCTCGTCTCCTTCAAATTCGCTGCAGCTTGAAACAAAGGTCTCCTCGCCAACTGATGCTTTCGGTGAAATCAACTTTGGAGGAAGAACCAACAGCTCTGTTAGTGACGCATTCAACAAACGCCCGAACTTTTCAATCATTCTTTATTTCACTGCTGTCTCAATCGATATTGATCCAGTGCTTGATGCTAAGCAAATATCGCAGAAATGAGAAGATTGATAATAATATTTTTAGGACTAACCGCAGCACAACAAGTTGATACACCACGAATGCAATAAATTATGTTTATTGCAATAATAAGAACATTTCTACACTTGACTTCGACTTCTTATCTAGAAATATTTTTGACATTTTGACAGATCTAATTTTTGTCAAATAATTTAAAACCAACTGTGAAATAAATTATTACGGAGCACTTCTTTATTAGTTGTTTAATTAAAGATGAATTTTGTTAAATTTGCCAATTTGGGCTGACAAACCTTACGTAAGTATACGGACGCAACTTGATAACAAGAAAAACTGTTATACATGAACATTTACAGTACGTAAGGTTGAGTTCGTCAACAGAAGCTTCAGCCGTGCTGGAGTTGATGAGGAAGTACTGGACGATGGACAAACCAAACCTGCTGCTCTCCGTCACTGGGGGCGCGCAAAACTTCACAATGAAGCCCAGGTTCGCCTTCAATGCATACGTTAGAATTCATCGTAATGTCTCGCTTCGAATTATTACGTAAAAAATTTTTTTGTTCCTACTTTTGAAAAATTTAAAATTATATAATTAAATAAATAATTATGATCATTCCTTCATAATTTTAGATTGAAAGAAGTCTTCAGACAGGGTTTTATAAAAGCTGCCCAATCTACTGGTTCGTTAATATGATGAGTAATTTTGTTTTCAGAATCTTTTGAATTTGATGGTTTTGAAAAATTTATTGAGAGACAAAATTGTTTTACAGGTGCTTGGATCATAACCGGAGGAATGAACGCCGGAGTTATGAAGCACGTCGGTGAAGCTGTCAGGGATTATACACTGAAACATGGCAGTAAGAACATCATCACAACTATAGGTCAGGTTTTGCAAAGTGTTTCTAAAAAGATAATAACAGAATGCAATGATGAGGATGTTGAAAACTGTTCAAAAAATGTTGAAAACTTTATACACCATAGTAACACCAACGCTGATGACAAAACTTTACGACAAAATCAACTTGTTGAAACCATGCAGAACCACTTTTAATTTGCAGGAATAGCACCATGGGGTTGCATACTGAATCGAGAAAGTTTGATGTCTTCAACAGGCACAGGTTGCTGGCCAGCCAACTATTCATCAGTTGCATCGTCCGTAACCAAGGAATGTCCTCTCGATCCTAACCACTCCCACTTCATTCTCGTCGACGACTCAACGTCCGGTAAATATGGCAGTGAAATAACCTTAAGAGCTGAACTTGAAAGAGCAGTTTCCAACTCACCCACTTATCTAGAATTTGGTAAATTTACATAATTATCTAAAAATTTGCAAAAGTATTTTAACGTTTGTATCCGTGAGCTGCTAAACTGTTTCAAAACATTTTGAAACTAACGATCGATATATTGTGCTTAAATATGATTTTAAAAATATTCGGTTTTTTAACTGAACCTAATTGAATAAAAAATAATTAAATTGTGAAAATAAATAAACTAACAAAGTAACGAAATGTTGTTAAAGATAGCGATGAATCAGTAGCCATCCCGATCGTGAGCATTGTGTTGGAAGGAGGACCAAACAGCATCGAAACCGTCAAGAACGCAATCGCTTGTGGAACTCCTGCTATCATTGTTCAGGTTGCAAGATGATTCAGTAATCAAAAAATTAAATTACATTTCATATTATAATTGTACTTTTAAACATTTTCACTGTGATTTTTGAACTCTGATCCATCCTGAAATATTCTTAAAAAAGAATATTTCAGCTTAATGTGATGTCTTAATAAAGCTTGTGGTTGTTATTAGCTTGTCAACTGAGTAATAATATTTATTCAGGGCTCAGGTAGAGTGGCTGATATATTGGCGCATGCATACAACAACGCTGTCGAAGTAGAGATTGTGGCAGAAGATCAGCTGGGCAAGAAACACAAACAGTTGGTGGCTGTTTGTTTGTTTGTTTGTCTGTCTGTCTGTCTGTCTGTCTGTCTGTTTGTCTGTTTGTTTGTTTGTTTGTTTGTTTGTTTGTTTGTTTGTTTGTTTGTTTGTTTGTTTGTTTGTTTGTTTGTTTGTTTGTTTGTTTGTTTGTTTGTTTGTTTGTTTGTTTGTTTGTTTGTTTGTTTGTTTGTTTGTTTGTTTGTTTGTTTGTTTGTTTGTTTGTTTGTTTGTTTGTTTGTTTGTTTGTTTGTTTGTTTGTTTGTTTGTTTGTTTGTTTGTTTGTTTGTTTGTTTGTTTGTTTGTTTGTTTGTTTGTTTGTTTGTTTGTTTGTTTGTTTGTTTGTTTGTTTGTTTGTTTGTTTGTTTGTTTGTTTGTTTGTTTGTTTGTTAGGAACCTTCAACTTAAAACTCAATCCATTCAATGATATCAGGATTCATTAAACACAATCAAAGACGTTTTCATTAATAAAGAGAGCAACTGATTTATTGTACAAAAAGAACATTTGTATGTATAAATTCTTAAATATATATAGACATGCAATTTTTTATGTATATAAGATATGCTTTATTGTAAAAACAACACTTTCAATAATATTGTTACAACTTGCTGACTTCAACAAGGCTGATATCAATTGTGGAGCAGTGGTTGGAAAAGGAGCTGATGGACAAAATAAAAAGTGAACTGAAAACAAAAAGTGATGAGCAAGCAAAACAGTACGTTTTAATGTTCTTTCAAACCTATTTTATGTGAATATTTTTTTTTATCCATTAAAACATTTTCTCATGAGTTCGTTTTTGTTGCGAAAATGTCAAACAACGAGTTTTAATGAGTTGTTTAATTATTATACATCAAAAACAAGGCAAACTTCTTCAAAAAAGAAAGCCATTTTTTAAGCTTGTTTTCCACCGATAGATTATTTTCAATTATTGCTTTCTGCTTTCATTATTTTAATTTATGAAAATTCATTCTGAGTTTTATCATTATTTCTTCTAATGCTATTTAGGATTAATTGCACATTTCATAACATTACGAAATCGTTGGCGAGACGGCTCACCGGAGAAGCATGATTGTTTTGTTTGTTTGCAAAAATTATCACATAACAATCAAATTTTAAGATAAAACAATCTTTTCAATAAATAAATAATTTAAAGATGAATATTCGTCATCGTGTTCCTTCTTATAATAATAATTCTTCAATAAAGTTGCTAAAAATACTAACAACAGAACAATACAAACAACACTAACAGGATCTTGGAGAACGTAAAAATTTGTGTGAGCAACAGAGATTTCATGACCGTCTTCGACCTTGACGGGAAGGACTGCGGCTCAGATATTGACATCACCATATTGAAAGCTCTTCTTAAATGTATTCAATTCATTCAAATATAAACTGTCCTTTAATCACTAATTACATTGCTGAACGTTATTTGTTTAATCACTTATTACATTCTTGAACGTTATTTGCAAATATTGGTCCGTTATAAGGATTGGATTAAAAAAAACAATACATAACTTTTAAAAAAATGTTTTAACTTAAGATTACGATCGCGTCAGTAAAATTTTTAGTTGATCACATTATGATTTGTATGCCCCATAAATTTATATCACAATTTTTTGTAATTAAAGATTTTTGTTTTACGCTAACTAAAAGGCCAAACGTTAATCACTTCAGCCAACAAAGGCAAAAAGATTGATCAGTTGAAGTTGGCACTGGCATGGAATCGTGCTGACGTGGCAAGGGAGCAGATATTCACGGATGATGCCATTTTTGAGGTTGGAACAAGATCAAAATATGTACATAATAATATTAATTTATTTTTATAAAATTACATCACGCTCAAATGTACCGTAGATATTTTAGTATCAGTATATTTTTCTATCAAGTAGTTTTTCCTTTATTATACTGCTCTGACATAAAGAAGACTGCTTACATATCACTCTCCTACATCCATAGACCAAGCAGCATGCTCCAGGCAAGCGCAAACACCGCATTTTACACGCATAACCTTATAATAAAAAAATATTATCAATAATAATAATATAAACATTTATATAGCGCCGATTTGCACAGTTGCTTCAGAAACACTCAATTTTTATAGCGCCCTACTCTAAGGAACGCTTCTTCTAGATTCAGATTGTCACTAAAATGTCTCGAATGTTTTGTTTTATGTTCATTGAGTAGTAGTTGTTGATGAATGTATGGAGGCAAAAATGTGCAGATGGAAGAGTATCCCACATGCAGCACACACGGAGGACTCTTACGAGAGGCAACGGTGGAGCGATAATAAGCTGGAGTCGTTCCTTTGGCTTGAGTTTTCCGGTTGACGATGAAACTTCAGCAACGTTGACAATAAAATTTAATTTTTGTATTTTTGAAGAATTGCAATTCAAAAAACATTTTCGCAGCCTGGAATCTCAAAAAACAACGTCCGAACACAAATGTCAACAAACCTAGTCTTTGAGTTTCTGATAGACAGGTAAGGCTCTGGGGCAATGGTTTTTTGGTGGTCGAGTTGATTAAAGCGAGAAAAAGTGGATTCAACCCCTCATCAACGTTGCCGTTAGATTCGAAAAGCCGTTGCAGCACCACTTCCCATGGACGACGCCTCGTTGCTGGGTTTTTTCAATGGAGTAATCTACACCAGCCTGCTTGCTCCGGTTTCTATTATTAATGGCTGGTATTGTTAATAGCTACAAATTAGAATTAGACATTAACATCCGCAATATCTCTCTTTTTTGCCATATCCACCCAGATGATGTGCCACATTTTTTCAACAGCATCCACAACCTTACTCATCTTAACACAGTTCACCTTTGGAAAAATTTCATGAAAGTTGCAAGTTGGCAACAACTTTTGTTGATCCAATAAGCTAGGGCAACAACAGCACCAACGACCAGGTCATTGCACAATAGCAACAACGCATGACATGGAACTTTTACCGATTGAGTTAACTCACGGTATGCAGCACAATAATTTAAGCTAAAAGTTGAAGTACAACCTGGAAAATCATGGTTTTCATAAAAGTTTTATATTGATATCATTGTCACTTATTATTTTCGGAAAACGTTCGAAAAATTAAATGATCTCCACTTTTTGTTACCTCAAAACCTCCAAATCGGGAATTGAAGCTATTGTTAAATGTTCAATCTTGATTAATGCGTTAGTTAAAATTAATTAACACCATGCAGCCAGAAGATCTTTACGACTTGATGTACAAAGCGTTGATTCAGAACAAAGTTGAATTCGTCAAACTGCTCATAAGCCGAGGTGTTAGTTTGAAAGAGTTTGCCACCGTGCCCAGAATATTGAGTCTTCTCAACGAGGTGAACATTGCTTGCTCGTTTTTTAATAGTTATATTATTAATAGAACTATTTATATTTATATATTTATTATTAATAGCTAATATATTCATCTGAACATAACAGAAAGAAACATTATGCTATAATTCAATTGTTTCAACTGTTTTAATCTATATACCTACAATGGTTTTAAATATTGTATTATCGGTAGACAAAATATGTTAGTAGGTGTGAATAATCACACTGACGTGGTATTGCCTCTTTGTCGGTAGTTAATAATTTAACAACACCTAAAAAATATTTGTTTTTCGTGATGATTCATAACATCAAATAAATATAATATGCTATTTTAATAAAATTCCTTATTCGAACAAATCTTTTTGATTGAATATAATTAATTTTTTTGTTAAAAAAAATAAAAAAACATTTTGTTAATTCGTTAGTGAAAGGTCAGACATAGAGCAACTTTTTCCTTTCATTCATTTGAAATAAACACACACGATTCATTCATTCACTGCAGCCATTGACTCGAAGAAACTGCAAACATCTCTTCAACATTTCGGAGGTTACAAATTTTCATTTTAAACATCATATATTAAAAATTGCTCGCAAGTTGTTAAAAATTATTTTTAGAGCACTCTAGTTTCTTTGAAGCACGTGGGTCAATTGGTGCAGGATTTGATGGGCCACTACTATGAGCACAGTTTCTGCAAACCGCCTTACAAAGACATTGAAGCATCTGACTACGTAAAGACATCTAACATTCACGCCAAAAAAGATAATCCATTAAAAAGTCTAAAAATTCCTTTCAACACGCTGAGAAGTGGAAAATGTAATTTTAAGTTTCGTCCATTCATTTCATGTACATTCATTTTAAGTTGTGACAAAATTCAGATAACAATCAGTGTTGTTATTTGTATTTTTACAACATTTTTTGTGCCAATATAGCAATATATACTTTAATAAATGCTATACCTACTGATTCATTATCCATTCATATATGAAAATTTATGACATATCACACTTGCTTGAATATTCATATTTACACCAGCCGACAAACGGTTGCCCCTACCTGAGTTTGAAGACCCATCTAACGTGTTGTTCCTCTGGTGTGTCCTAGTCCACATGAAAGATATGTCCTTGGTCTTTCTCGATATAGGAAAGGTTTGATTTGAATGCATCGCTTACTACAATGAAATCGTTCAACTACTAAAAAAATTAACTAAAAAATAAAATAAAAGGAAGACATAGCAATGGCATTGATGGCCCAACACATTTCAAAATCCCTCCTTCAAAAAGAGCAGGATTCAGACTTTGCTGTCAACATCCAAAATCAAATTGAGTCTGTTCTTGCTATCAAAAAAATTTTTTCCAATTAAATTTCGTTATCCGACTTACAACTTTAAATTCTATGAAAAAACTCTTATATCATTGTTTTGTTTCTTCAGGCTGTTGATTTGAAATAAAAAAACGATTGACAAATTTTAAAGATATTTTGGAAATTTAGCCCTGGGTGTGTTAAACGAGTGTTACTCGGTCGACCAGTCGAAGGCCACCTTATTGCTTGTGAGGCAGATGAGCTCATTTGGAGAGACAACCGTCTTGAAAATGGCCGTAAGTAATAATAAATGATTGCTAATTTATCAAATGCTTACAAAGTAAGATCAAAAATAAAAAAGACCAAATTAAACTTGGAATAACCAAAATTAAAATGTTATTCGCAGGTGCAAGCAGACCATAAAGAGTTTGTAGCACATCCGGCCTGTCAGAATTTGTTGACCAACATTTGGACTGACCAGTTGAGTGATGATAACAATTATATTTGGGTAAGTGTTTGCGTTCGCGATAACAATCAAGCCGGCATTGATTTTTACGTTGATGGCTTTTTATTAATTTGTTATTAAATTTTTTGTTTTTATTATTTGTTGAAAATTGCAAAAATAAAAATTTTGGAAATTTGTTGTTTCCTGGTCCTTAATGGCGTATCTAAATATTTGACGTTATTAATAAAATATAAGACTTAATTTTGATTGTTGAAACTTTGATCTTTAAGTTTAAAAAGCAACCTACGTAATTAACCTATGTTACTTTTGCTGCAAAAATTGAAAAAACTTGACTCAACATCTTAAGAATATATTTGGTCGTTAGAAAGAGTTTGCCAATAACTATTCTGTAATGTTCAAACACATCCCCGTTCAACTTTAATATATCGCTATTGTGAACTTTGGAATTTTTCATATTGAATGTATTCCATTGGTTAACTATGTAAGCAACTACCAGAGATTTAGTATAAACTCGAAGTTTTATTTACTAATCCTGGCACTGAATAAATGTATAAAAATTCATTACATTATAATAAAATAGATCATATTAGCACTTCTTATGCCTTTCCTATCTCCCATCCTACTGAACTTCAGACAGAAAGAAATTCGGCTGAATAATGCCGAAGATGCTAAGGAGAAAGCTCTCACGAGAATGGTGTGTATGTTGTGTTTTGCATGTTCTATGCGTACGTCAAACCTCATTTTATACAATTTAAATGTTTCTATCATGTATTATGTATGTATGGTTACTGGTTATATATGTTTCTACGATATTTAATAATTGCTTAAAATTAATCTAATTATAAAAAAGGTTCAAAATATTTTACGAAGTCTAGGTGGTTTAGAAAAATTTTTAATTCATAAAATGAATAATTTCTCAACAATAAAACTGACAGTTCCTCAACAAGAAGCGACATAACTCGGATGCCAGACGAGAAAAGAACGTTGCCGCCACACAGTTCGTCGCCTGCTCCTTGAATTTTTATTTTCATTATTATTGATACTGTAATTTTTCTTCAACAATCATAAATAAAAAAGCAATTTAAATTTTATTTTGACATTTTCTCAATTTATTCTTCATTTTTTAATACAATCTATGTCTTTTATCAGCCAAACAGGCATTAAATTTATTTTTTGCCAGTAATTTAAATTTGATTTGAATTGTAATGTGTCAAAATCTTGAGTAGTAATTGTTTAACTGAATTTATTGTCATGTAAACAACCTGTGATTCAAAAAATAACATCAAAGATTGTATTAATTCTTCATTACCTTCCATTAAAACAGCATTCTGATTCAGCAGTCAAAAGAGAAGACCCAGCAGAAGGCCCAAGAACGAAACTTTGTTTTAGAATATTGGGATAAGTTAGAATCATTTTTCAAGGCTCCATTCACCACGTTCTGTTACAACTGTGTTAGAATTAATTTGCTCAGTTGATTTAAATTTAACTTGTCTAAATCGACATTTGATGTGAATTTGTATCTCAAATATATCATAAAGTTAAACAAAATGCGTTTAAATTTAGAGTTGTAGTTAGGTAGAAAACGTTTAAAATGCCGTTCGCAAAATGTTCGCAGAGTATAACCAATTCAGTTAGCAGGATTTATACAATTTATAGTTAAGAATGATTTCAAATTTGCATCCAATGTTTTATTCATCAGATAGCCTACTTTGCCTTTCTGCTACTATTCGGCGTCATACTGCTCACCAACTTCTTCCCCGTCTACGGCAAACAATCCAATCAAGTCATTCCCATAGAAGAGATAATACTCATTGCCTGGGTCAGTACATTTCTTTTGGAAGAAATCAGACAGGTGAGTGCAGCTTTTTAAATTTTATTTGATTGAATCTGTTTTTAATACAAATTAATAACATAACAGTTTTTGAATTAAACATTTTAATTTTTATTATATTTTAACAATTTTTCAAATTCATATCACACGCGAAACAAATTTATTTTCAAATTTTTTCAGTTCATAGTGACTGAATCATCTCATCCGGGTCAAAAGCTGTTCAACTACATCTCTGACCCTTGGAATGTATCCGATATCATCTCTATCGCCACTTTCTACATTGGACTCACTTTGAGGTAATAAAAAATACGTTTCAATTATTTGAAAGATATAAGTTGGTCATTGAAATTAATTTTAAAATATCTTTTTTTTATTTATTAAGATTCCAAGCGATAAAATTTTTCAAAACGTCAGGTTCATTCCAACAAGCACCTGCGAGAGATGCTTCTACGCTGGCAGAATAGTGCTGGCCTTCAACTTGATGATGTTCTTCCTCAGAGTTTTGCACATGTTTTCAGTACATCAGCAACTTGGTCCCAAACTCGTCATGATCAAACAAATGGTTTGTTTTTGTTTTCTTATTTTTATTGTATAGGATGAATTGGCTCCTTGGATGTTTGTTTGAAAGTTGATAATAAATAAATATTCTGTTCACATTTGTCTCTACACAAAATTGTTTTATTAACGTTGCAGATGGTGGATCTTTTTTATTTTGTCATCATTATAATGGTCTTCATATCATCGTACGGAATAACATCACAAGTCATCCTCTACCCCAACCAAGAGCTGAACATCAAACTTGCGAGAGATGTCTTGAGTGATGCCTGGTGGAATGTGTACGGACAGTTGGATATTGATATGGTCTCAGGTTCTGCTTTTTTTATTTTAGAAATGTTTGACAGTTTTGAATTTCGTAGTAGTACAAATACTTTAAGTTTAATTAATAATCGTACTATAAATGAAAGCAAAAACCAAGTGGAATTAGATGCAGACAGTTATCAGAATACATTATTTTAAAATATATTGCTTGACAACTTGAGTTTGATATTAAAAAAATGTTTATGAAATAACGAAAAATTGAAAAAAAAATATTTAATCCTCATCAAACATTAAAAACTTTATAAAAAAAATATAAAAATAAATTCAATGCAAAGAAAAGCTTTTTTCAAAACTTGTAGCTATCTTGCTTTGCATTTAAAATGAAGTCAATATAAATGAAACATTTCAGACGGCAAATGTAGCAGCAAGCCTGACGTGTGTGACTTCAATTCAACCACCGGCAAATGCAAGGCTCTCGACTGCGCTGTCTACGGGTACGAGTCTGACAAATGTTATGGAAAGGAAGACAATTGCGTGGCGAATGATTGGGTCGTGCCAATTCTCCTAGCCATATACGCCCTCATCACCAATGTCATGATGCTCAACTTGCTCATTGCCATGTTCAGGTACCATGTCATATGATTTCAAAGTTAAACAGATTGTTTCGGTCTAAATTTTACAAGTATTTTCAATCGTTAAGGTCTAGTAGAGTTTATCATGAAAAATGAGATAGATTTTGTTAAAAATAATATTCCAGCAACACATTTGCCGCGGTGCAAGGCCAGTCGAACGTTGTTTGGAAGATGCAGCGTTACCATCTCATCCAGGTGCTTCTCATGCGGTGATATGACAACGCCATTTAATTATGACATGCCATGTGTTGGATGAATAATTTTTATTGGTTTATTTTAGTTTCTCTAAAGTTGACTCTCCTTCACACTTATTTTTCATATTGTTGTGATTTTAAAAGAGATGGATATTATGTATTTGGGAATAGAATTTTCTGCGGAACACATAAACAGAATTTAAGTATTATAAATAAATGAATATTAATATCATAATTAGAATGCTACTTGTTATCTAAGTGAATTTTTTAATAATTCTAAAACGTCTCTTCATAAAATATAAATTAAACTTTAAATAAAAAATCCAAAATATTTTATTATTATTTATAGAAATAAATTTTAATGAATGAATGGGATAAAACGGCAGGAGTTTGAGAGCAGACCAATATGGCCCCCTCCACTCATAATCATCGGCCACGTGTACCAGTTCATCAGGTACATGGTCTTCGATAGGTGCTGCCGGAATCAGAAATCCACTAAAATTGGATTTCGTAAGTTTTTTTTTGTGTGTGTCAATGCCACAGTGTTAATGCATGATTCATCACGTTTATAGACATGCCGTATTTTGATTGATTTATTTATTTTGATTTATTTTTGGTTTATTTTTATGTGTTTTATACATTTTATTTTATTTAGTTTTCTTTAAAATTTATGTTTTGAGGGGCTATCAAAAACTTATCGTGCGTTCCTAAATATCATCCATACAAACGCAACATGAGCATGGTTCAAAAATATCTCACTAGGCATGAAGTTGAACAAGGTGGAAGAGAAGGAGCTGATAAACTGGGAGAACATTTATTCAGAGGAGTATCTACTGAACAATGAAACCACTGCTGAGTCATCCATGGAGTTCAAAATTAATGAGACTTTTAAGAAGTTTGTTGGCATTGTTGTTGAATGGCGATATAGTATTGTTGAAAATTTTATAAATTTAAAATGTTTTTCCATTGGAAAAATAAATAATTATAATTAGATTCAATTTTTTTATTTACGAAATTATTTTACATAAATTATTTTAAATAAACGTGGTGTTTTGCAATTTGGTCATGTCCTTCAAATTACGTATGTCAATTATTTATATTGCACGTGACATGATGACGTCATCACTCAGATCCGATGACGTCATGTTCAAATTGGACCAACTTTCGGAGAGCAGTTTGTTTTCTCAAACGACAAGTCTTAAGGACGCCGCCCAAACCAAACTGCCTCCACTGCTGGAAAAAAGATTTGCACAGATTGAAGAACAAGTTGTTGTTTTAATTGAATTTTTGTGAAATAAATAACATATAAATTAATCAAAAGAGTATTGAAATTGTTTGAGGGCATTTGATTAAAGTTGTTTTTAATGAAATTTATGAAAAATTCGTATATAGAGGTTCGTAACTTACAATTTCGTCAAAAGTTTTCCCCGATTTGTTTTTATTAAACTATGTTTTATTTAAATTAATTAATGAATAAATGATGATATTTTGAATATGATCACTGATAATAAATTGTGACGTGTCTCATTGCGTCCCTTCTCTAAAATTCATGGCCGTTTATTTATAATCAACCACCAAAGTTGAAGCAGAACGCGCAGGCGCTGACGCTGTTGATGGACCACCTGAAGATCAGTAGGGAAGCTCCGGAGGAAGTTAAACTTGCAGATGTCACCGGCAAGGAAGGTTAGGATGATGACGATGATGAGGAGGATGCCGATGAGGATGATGATGACGATGAGGATGATGATGGTGATAGTGTTTTTGATGATGATGATGATGATGATGATGATGATGATGATGATGATGATGATGATGATGATGATGATGATAAGGATAATGATGAAAAAAATGTTGTCAAGACTAAAGGGAGAAAAAGTTATTGTGATGAAGATATGAAGATTTACGAAATTTTTAAATTTCGTTAATGGTGTGATGTAATCTTAGCGTGTAGAAGGTTAATGCGACATCGGCCATCAATCTTATCCTAATAAGATTAGAAATAGAAGTTAATAAACAAAACCAAACATTATTTTACGTTGAGATTATTTTCAACAACCTTTTCCTCGAATTCAAAAATGCGAATAAGTATTGACATTCGCCGTTTAAAATTATTGGAACATTTTTAAAAAATAGATGCTTTTAATTTCAGCAGATAATTTTTATTTAATTTGTTTAAAATAGATATTCTTTAATTTCTAATTAACAAACCCAACCAGTGTATACGTCATTGCTAAAATTAAACTACCGTCACTTCAATTTGTCTTGCATCTTGTCAAATATTGCTATTACGACTCAAACACAACAGATGTGGAAAGACGACAGGTAGAGATTAAAAAGAAGAAAGAACTTGAGACGGAAAGATTGAAAGAGGAATTGAAGCAGCACAAGCTTTCTAGGTCGGCTGTGTATCCAGTCATGTTCGAAGCTGTCGTCAGGTTTCCTGTACCGGACAACAAAGTTTCATGGAAGGTAAGTTGGTGTTTCTGTTTTATTTTATTTTATGTAGTCTGCTGCGTTTGGTCTGAGTTATTGTTGCAATGACAAATAACTCATAACAAGGGTGCTTTAGGTTTTACATTTCGAATAATTTGTCAACGATTTATTTCGATTTGTTGACAATCCAGGACAACTAATTGTAAATTTTTTCAAAGGAATTTCAATTGGTTGTTTATAGTTAGCAGTTCTAAATAAAAACTTTTTTGAAAATTGTTTTTTTGACCAAACAAATAATTCACTGTTTATGATAATCAGATCTAACTGAATGCCACCTCATCCCAGGTAGCTTATCCCTCGTACAAGCCTCCATCTTACACCTCCGATGAAGTCCTGGATGGAAATTACGATGAAGAGAAGTACGTTACGTTGTTGCATATATGTGAATTTATCATAAGTCAAAATGAGATTATTAAAACCTAATTAATTTCAATTTCTTCCAATTCTCTTTACAAATACAATTTTAATGATGTAATTCAAAATTAGTAACAAACTTTTTTTATTAACATTAAAACCATCTTCGTATCATTAATAATTTTAAAAAGTTTTACAAATTTTCAAACTCTACCCAACGAATAAACGAACGAACCAAATGTAGCATGGACCACATCAGCTTCAATGCCGTCGATCAGATGCGCAGGTACGACAGACGAAGTTGCACGGGCAGGTACGACATCGTTGACGGCTTCCCTCTCAACCCTAGAGGCCGGACAGGGTTGAAAGGTAGAGGATCCCTGAATCGATGGGGTCCCAACCACATCTACAAACTACTACTCACTAGGTTGGTTGTCAAATTTTTTAAAAATTTAATTATTTCTGGGTTTATTTTTCTACGAAACAGTTCAGTACTATCCGTTGACTTTGGACTATTTACACTTTGGAAATTTGAATTATGAACTAATTCACGAATAATTTTGGAGTTGATAAGTTTAATTTATTCATAAAAAGTAATAATATATTCTGTTTCGTATCAACGTATTTTTATGGATTATCTCCCAATGTAATAAAATTGATGAACAATACATAGATGGGCTGACAGCGAACCAACCTCTATAAAACCGAAAAAGTATTTGCAATTTTTAGCTGTCGAGTTCCTAGCTCCCGGACACAAAATCATCATTCCCGAGGTGAGCATTCAGATCTTTAAATTAATTTCCAACTGATATTTCTATAGTTTTGCTCTATTGTGTCATTACATCTTTTAATTCCAAAACATATTAATTTTCGTCTTGTAAAATATTGGAATAATAGAATTTAAAAATGGCTCTATGCTCAAGTTTTCGTTGTTCAAAATATAATAATGACCTCTAAATCCTTTGTTAAAGCAAAATTATTATTGTTTTTTGTTGGCCAAATTTCAACCGCCAGTTATTGTACCCTGAAACGAGCAACCCGACAATGGAATGCCTGCAAGACCTGCCTGACGCCGTCGAACTTAAGAGGTGGTTGAGAGAAGAAGGTGATCATGTGACCCATCTGTTTGAGGATCGCCAGGGAAGTCGCGATTATTACGACGATCCTCGAAACACGGACAACGCTTGGCTGGAAGTCTCAGCAGACATCTACCACGATGAAGACGTCATCGTCCTCACTAATGAACAGCTCGGAGATCCTCAAGTGAGTTTTTTAAACGGAAGTACTTCTTTTGCACGAAGCATGGTGACTTCGATATTTTCTTGTCTAATTTTGTTTTTTTCGGGTCCAGTCATGTAAATAGAACCCGGATGTTCCAAAATGAAATTTTGAAAACACCGAGATCACCATTCTTTGCTTAGTTTCATTTCACCGCATCACTTTTTAGCATAACTGTTATTTAATTTGTAGTGTCAGAGCTACAAATGAAACGACAATGCAACATCAATTCTGATACAATTTTATTTCTAATGAATTTATTTTCAAATAAATTACGTCCCAATGAATTCATAATTTTCAGACGATCAAAGACGACAAAAAATTTACATGGGTGAGGATACACCGTGGGATGGACGTCTACGCCGCGGATCTCCCCATTCTGAAAACAGCCGTCAACAAACTCAAAGCGTCGTTCTAATCAATATTACGGACGGCAAGGAATGGAACACAATGGAGTAATAATGCATCTGATCTATATTTTCTAACCGACATTTTTCATTAAAAACGTTCTCTCAAACAAATATTCAGTTATTCATACAATCTTATTTAACCACGACAAACATAAAATATCATGAGTATATCATTTTTGTGTGCCAAGGTTTGGCCAAACAACATCATGTCAGATTAATTATGGCAGTTGTATATCGTTAACCCATTTAGTTATATCGGTATTTTAAGTTAAAAAACTTTCATTTATATTTATTTTAATTTGTTTTATTTATTTAATCATATTTTGTTAGTGAATTTTAGTGGGCTAGGAATTTATTTCAATTATTGAACACCCGGCGGTAAAGATTTTCCTGACTTGTTCTGGCGATGTTCACATAGTTTAATTTAATTTTCGCCAGCTTGAACCTGAGTAAATGACATCTGATGTGATAGAGAGCTTTCCTTCTTCGCACTGTTATGTATACCGCTGTCGCATTGAATTGTTTGTATAATCAACTGAAAAAAATTTATTAATTTTTAACGAAACTTCATTGTATTTTGAAGGACATCTGATAAAATTAAAAAATCATCTTGCTTACTATATCTTTTTCTTGTTATTTCCTTTTAGTTGTTAGAATTGTTTTCCTTGAATGAATTTATACTGCAAAATAAAAAAATTATGATAATACAGTCTTATTTCTTATTAATTAGTCGCCAGATAACGTTATAAAACAATACTCGTTTGCGCAACTAGCATAATGTCATTTAACTTTCATAGAAAAAGTCATCCATTCATTTACAATAAGTGCTTAATTTCTCAAGACTAATTGTCAATCATGTGAATAAAAAGTTGTGTGTGTAAGTTTAGTTGGAAAATTATCAATTTCGCAAAATATTCAGACTCATCAGTGCGTGAATCCTTCTGGTTTTTGTATAATATGAGAAATTACTAAACTACATTCGAACAAGAATATAAAATATTTTTCAGAAATAAAACATTTTTATTTCAAATTTTGTCTTATTGATCTTGCTACATCAGCTGCACCTCGAATAATAAACTCAAATTTAATATGTTTTATTTATTTATATATTCAGAGAATGTAGGAAGAGAGGTCTAGCTTTGTATTGCGTGTTTCTGTTGAATGCAACATTTTATGCTTTTCTACCCTCTTGCTCACGGAACATTTTGTTTTGTAACGAAAAAATAATTCAGTTAATGAATTTATTGGACGTGTGAATGGGAGAACGAAGTGTGCAGTTATGCAAATGTCACCGTACAATCTTCTCATATCAAGTAATAGTTAATTTGCGTCTTACACGCAATTGAGAAAATGTTAAATAAAAGCAATGACGCCAAATAAAATTTGAATTTTATAAAGTTTTTTTTAGATCCATTAGCCCATTAAAAAATAATTAATATAAAAATATATAGTTTCATAAAATTAAACCATATAGATAAATAAACTTAAATTCACTTTTATAAAATCTGTGGTAAAAATACCAAGAAGAAAGCAGAATGCCATCAAACAAACTTTTTACATTTTTGCACCAAAAAAATTTTGTTGCAATCTGCTTGCACGGTTGAGTTGATTTTAATTAGGTCTATCAGTAAATCGAATAGCTAAAAAATATTGTTATAGTTGATTTTTTTCGTTACTAATAAACACAAAATAAGAAATAAAATTGTCAAATAATTGTCAATTTTCACTGTCAAATATTATAAATAAATGTTTTCAAAAATAGTGTCGTCACTAAAAATTTTCAAACGAGACAAAATATTTCAAATAGCGCGTAATTGCAGCTTCATCAACTCCATCAGCGTCATCAACTCCCTCAACTCCATCAGCTCCATCAACTTCATCAGCACTTACACAAGCCAGAAAAATAGTTTGATATTTTATTTTTGATGAAAGTGATCATTTCACAAATGGTCCTCCTGTACAGGCGACTCATCGTGCAGTAGAGTACAAAATTAACTGCGCTGTTGATGAGCACCAGAATATCCCACACATCTCCCAGTTGCACGTAAATGTCCTCAAATATCCTGTAGTCGAAAGTGCTGAGCAGCGATATGATGCCAGGGGGAAGTTCCGTCACGACGAACGTCAGGACGACAGCCACAAGCATCGCTGTCGTGCGGTTGCAGTCAACTTCAGACGATTGAGAAGAAGTATTTCCGGTGGCCGAGTAAACGGTGAGTGATGAAATGCTTTGTTTGATGTTGTTGCTCTGGAAGTTCACGCTTAACTGATTGTTGTTGTTGCTGAATTGGTTGTTGTTAGTTTTGTATTTTTTGTTGCTGTTTTTGTTGTTGTCAATGTTATTGTCGTTGTTGCTTTCAATGATGATGATGGATGGAGCGGGAGTCAAATTACATGTTGACGTTTTGAACTTGTTGATGTTTTCGCAAGTTAAGGCTTCATATTTGTTGCTAATGTTGTTTTTTATATTGTTTTTGTTGATAATGTTGTTGTTTTTTATGACAACGTTGTTATTGTCGTTGTTGCTGATGTATTTGTTGATGATGTTGTCGCTGATGATGTTGTTGTTGCTCATGTTGTTGTTGTTCATGATGTTGTTGTTGATCGTATTCTTATTGTTCATGATGTTGATGTTTTTGATGATTTGAATGTTGCTATTATTGTTGATATTGTTATTGTTATTGTTGATGTTGTTGTTGATGCTATTTTGGGGACAAAACATGTATCTGTCGTTGTTATTGGTATTAATGTTGTTGCTTGCATTGCAGTTAATTTTGTTTACTATTTTATTGTTCTCACTGATGTATTGCTGCTCTTCATCTGTAGCGCTGATGTTAACGTTTGTGTTGTTTCTCTGGTCTGATGATATGTCAGTTAAGTTATTATCAACAATTTGAAGGTTTTCAGTTTTGTTTGAGCTGTCACTGTTGTCGTCAGGGGCGTTTATATTGTTAGCGCAGTTATTGACTTTGTTGTTGAAATTGCTGTGAACAACTACATTACAATCACAGCTGCTGTTAGTTTCGGCGTTTGAAATGTTTGTTAATGTCGGTATGCCAAGAACAACCGCACATGTACCAACATCTAATCGGCTGTTTGTGTGCTTTGTGAAGTTGTTGTCGCTGTCAGCAATGTCGCTTTTACTTTGAATTTTATCATAATTGTTATCCTCGCGAGCATTGTTATTTAATTGGATGACTTTTGTTACTGTGCCATTAGAGCTAGCTTGAGTGACATGGGTGTGGGTATTGTTGAAATTCTTAACGACCTCTATGTTTATGTTGAAATTGTACGTCTTGATGTCTTCTGCGGTTGATTGGTTGTCTTTAACAACATTAACACCCGTCGTTTTTGTTAAAATCGGCTGTGGATTCATTGTCAGTTTGTCGCAAGCATCATCATTGTTGAGTTTGTTGTTGAGGGTGTTGTTAGCATTGATGCTGTTGTTGTCGTTGTTTAACCTCTTTGGCATGTTACTTGAATTTTCAGAAATTTGAAGAGCCGGTAGATCTTGACAGGATTGGCTGTTGTCTTCAGGGTTGCATGTTGTATGGCTGACATTAAACATGCTCAATCTCTCTCCAGGTTCAATTTGAAATGATGTGAAGCGATGTGGTTGTTGTTGATTTGAATTTGGCTTGAAAAGTTGTTGCTGCTGCTGCTGTTGCTGCTGGTGTCGTTGCAGATGTTGTGGTTGCAGTGAGCGTCTCGGTTGTTTGTTGATTGCTGGTAATGATGGTCGTTGTAGTGCTGATGATGATGATGTTGAAGCGCGGGTCCTCTGCGTTGAAGACATTTCGTATTGTTGATTCAACGATAGATTGGAGTAGCGCTCCGAGGTGATGAGTGCCCTGTTACAACCGCAGCAGCAGCAGCAACAGCAGCAGCAGTAGAAGCAACAACCGGTGAAACAATCATTACAACGACCTCCTTTCCTCAACATGGCCTCGTTGCGATGGCTACTTTTCGTATTATTCAACCAAAATTGTCGTTGTTTTAATTTCTTCCTCTTGAAATTGGCTTGGCGCATGCTTCTTATAAGCAGCAAACTCAAAATTGATAGTAGCAGACATGGGGCCAATTTTAACAAAACGCCAAACAACCAGAAATTTAGAAGCAATATTTTGTCTGGCAGGGCATCATTCTCTTTCAACCAGTAACCAAATTTCCGTTGCTTCGTCTGTCCTGCTGCTGTAAAATTATGATAATGGTGATGATATAAAACGCAATGATTTGGATGTTAACCGTGATGATGGTGAACATGTTGACAACAGTTTCGTTATTAAACTGGCAGTGATAATTACTGCGATAAAAATTATGATGATAGGATATTGATACGGAAAACATGATGAAGATTGAAATGATGTTGATGTAATGATGAGATCCGCTGAAAAGTTTGCAACAGATTGAAACTTTTGATGATGTGAAGAAACGAAATCAATGTCATAAATGAAATTCAACGTTACAATTCAGTAAAGACATTTTGAACCAAAATCTTTCTAATCACAAACAATTTTTTAATGGAATTTTTTTACAACCTTTATTTTCATCGACGTAGTTGAAGTTTCCGTGTTGAAATTCATTAAGATTTGCTGCTACAGTTTCCATTTCCATCGTTTTTTTCATTTCCTGGTGTTCAAACTCGTTGTAAGAAAATTGTGCACGAACAACAATTTGTTTGGAATCGTCAAAATGTTTGCCAAGGTAAAAATAGTTGCCGTTGCTATTATTAACATTACTTTTACCAACTGAAGTTTTGGTATCATAAACATTAGCAGAATTATTCTTACAAACTATACAACTATTTGTACTGTTGTATGTCTTATCAGAAGCTGCTGTCATATTTTTATAACCTGCTGTTATATTTTCGTTACCAATCCAACTTCTACTGGAATTTAAGTTATGTTGAATGTCAAGGTCGACCAGCTTGTGCATGAAGTACATGGGCATGCAAGTGAGGACTGTGGCACAAAAGACGCTGACCACTGAGCAGCGTACGAACCTCCAGATGGATGGAGCCACGTACGACTGGCGACGACGTTTCTACGAGTGGTGATTGAAGTGATGATGTGGTGAGGTGGCAGTGGGATGTAAGAATGTTATGGTAATGTCAAGACGATATGATATATACGAAACAGTGAAGAGGACGTTGAATGAAATAATGGATAAACATGACAAATGCGACGAACAGGAGTGAGAAGTGACAGCAACACGTGGGGGTATCAAGAAAAACGATCAAATGTCCTGCGTTAGCAATATAAATCAGGTTAACGTATGGCCTGGAAGTGCTGATTAATGATTGCAGGTGACAGCGTTAATGGGCCTTAAGATGGTTTTGTTAAACGCAAAAAACGCACAGCTAATACTGCTTTACTGGTGGAAGCTTAATTTAAAATGAGTCAGGTGTATTGGGTTTGTTTATGACTGGTACGCCTGCCATGTTTGGTGGTGACATGTCTCAACAGGTTTACCTTCTTCAATGTTACTTTCTACTTTTTGTTAATTTATTATAAATATTTTTCTAATTTGACATTGTTTAAAATTCACTAAAGAATAATAAATTTAATCTTTAAAACTTGTATTAAAATTTAAAAAAATTCTTCTGTCTTTAAAATGAGTGAAAATATTTTCTAATGCAAAAAAACATTAACTTCTAAATTTTTCAGCTTTTACATCAATATATATATTTTTTATATTTTCACATTAAAAGACTAATGAAAAGTATTAAATTTAATTAATTTGACATCTGCATTAAAATGGGAAGTTGGAAAAATTATTTTCTAAATAAATAAAACAGGGGATAAATGTTTGGAATCAAATTAATGTTATAGCCAGTTTTATATCGTTTGATTACCAAAGAATTAATTATTAAGTGATTCACCGTACGATTTAAAATAAAATATCTCTTTGAATGGTTTTCGTCAATGAAATATTTTATAATCTCAGTATTTTGTAATAAAATTTTAAGTTTTATACTTTTTCAATATTTTTCTAACTTGAGAATTCAGCAATGAATTTTTAATCGTTGAAAGAGAACAGGTCCAATTTGATGGAAGGCTACCTTAAAAGATTGACATAAACACGTAAACTGATTAAAAACCGAAGGCTAAAATTACCAAGCAGTAAAACTTCTGAACAATTTTCACAATTTTGTTTTAAATATTTTTACTGGTTTTCAAATGAAACGCTAAAAACAAGATTTGTGTTTGGGTTTTTCATAGCCAAATAAAATGAGCAATTGATTTAACTTTATTTGTTCATTGCCCAGCAACTCGAAAAATTAACAAAGTGACAAAGTTTTGCACGTATGTTAACACTTAACGTAATCTAGTGGTGATTTTTGAGGGCCCTATCTAACTACTTTAACCGGTAACTAATATTTCCTTTATTTTTTGTGCATGTCCTGGATTTCTTGCATGCCCTGGATCTTTTGCATGCCCTGGATCTCTTGCATGCCCTGGATCTCTTGCATGCCCTGAATCTCTTCCATGCCCTGGATCTCTTCCATGTCCTGGATCTCTTCCATGCCCTGGATCTCTTCCATTCCCTGAATCTCTTCCATGCCCTGGATCTCTTCCATGCCTTGGGCTGACATTCGCAACCACGATATCCGATATGAAAAATGTGCTTTTTTGATGAAATTTTTTTATAAAAATCATGAACTTTTGCCAAAGCATTTTGCGTCATTCAAGATTTAACTGTTCAAATGTTAATGCAACGATACAAAAACAGATAACCAATATAGAAACATTAGATTAACAGTTTTTAATATATAACTTTGAAAGGCAATCTCACAGACTTAGAAAACTTATTAAAAATTACATTTTGCAGTCAGCACTTGCCAAATAAACGAGAAAAAACAATGGAGTATTCAAAAGTCCTTCGAGCTTGGTAAAGAACGTCGATTCATCTGTCTTGGCATGTTAGAGTTATGGTCTTAAAAAAAATTTACAGTTGATTTTAAGAAAGCTTTGATCAGATAGAAACTGAAAAATTGTGTCTTTCTAAATTTTTTTCAATTTTTGTACGATTTTTTAAATTTTATTTTTTCCAGTTTGTTTTTAATTTTGTTAATTGTTGCAATTCAACCAATTAAAATAAAACTCCTGTCATTTCAGTTACTGCGTTTAAAACATTTTCAAAATTTAATAAAACAAACCTGCGAATTAGTGCTTAAAAAACTTTATTAAAATTTAACAAAAACAAATTATAAAACATCTTTTTGTTATTATGTACATTTGATCATTAATGAACCAAATAAAAACAAGAAGAAAGGAACTTGGTTGGTGAGGTTCCACTTGGGGTTGGTGACGACGAAAAATCTGAGAACAGCCAGGAGAACTGTTGTCCACATTGCAGACGTGTGGCAGATGATCACAAACTTGTTGTGAAATATCAGAAATATAATCCAGGACCTGACAAATTATTTCAAATTAATAACTAATTAAATTGAATAATTAATTTAACTAAGATATGAGTGGATATTTTATCGGATAAGTTTTCATATATGAATTAATGATCCAATTTAATAGCTATTCTAAATGAAAATATACCTATACTTTCAACGCATAACTACAAATACAGACATATGTATGTATATATTTCTACTGTGATAACGCTGAAAGAACAAATCATCGGCTGCAAATGACATGTGCACGTGATTGAAGGACAAACAAACGAAGCAATCTGCCGTTTCGTCAACAAAACGTATGATGAAGCGGAAATAACAAATGGTGACAACGATCATCATGGCGATGGCATTCAATGAATTGGTGGTAATGATGGTGATGTAGCGAGTTGAGGGATAGTTATAAATATTGTGATGGTGATCATCGTATGATGTACAGTACACCAATAGTAACTTTCATCTTGATGTGATTATTCTTCTTCTTTCTCGTGCCTTATCCTTTCAGGACATTGGCGAACATCGACCTCCACAAAACCCGATCTTTTACACAGTAGTTAGATTTTCCATTCCATGGTGTGACTAAAAAGCTTTAATTGCTGCCGTCGGATTATCTGTAATAATTTCCTCTTTTCATAACCGGACTGTTTTAATACATCTTCAGTCGAAGTACGAGAGGTTCAACTAATCTTCATAATTCTTCTCAAAAACTACATCACAGCAGCGTTAATCCTTTTTTTTCATTTTTTTAGAAATTGTCCAGTCTTTTTTTTACATTTTTTGCGGTTATGGAGTTTAAATTTTTTAGATTTTGAAAATGTACAAAGGAATCAGATATTGTTTTGCAGTTTTGAAAAACACAAAAACAAACTTTCAACACTCGACCAAGCATTTCGTTGATGTTTACCATCCGATGTGCAAGTGTTGCAATTCATATCTAATTGCATGTAAAAATTTGTTGGAGAGGGTTTACTGTTTATATGCGTGTGTATAAGCCTGCATGAGTACAGTGTGTGTGTGTCTATGTGTGTGTGTGTGTGTGTGTGTGTGTGTGTGTATTACTGCTGTGTGTATAAGCGTGTATGTGCAGGTTATAGTGCGTGTTTATGTGTGCACATGTATTTGTGGCGTGTGTGTGTAGTAGCAAATTTAGTTACGACCTCTCCTGTTATCAACAGTTCAATGACATTATTTTGTAGTTAAATTCAAATTTATTGAGAACTAACGTTCAAGTAATGTTTGACTAAAAAATTGCTAGCTTAGCTAGGTTGCCAGCTTAATTTATGTCTTTTTGATACGTTGTTGTATATGTGTGTTTGTCTGTGTGTGTTTGATAGTGTGTTTTGCGTGGAACTCGTGGCAATGTGCATTTGTGACTAAATGGATTGGTGAAAGCTAGTTGATGGGAGGAAAATAAGTTCAGAGCATCCACCCGCAAGTCATCCATCACAAATGGAAAATGGAAAAGTATTTCGTCCGTCAACATGATGTGTTCTTCAACGATGCGACAGTCAATTGTAGATAAACATTTTGTGGCACTGTGAAGCAATCAATATTTCTAATTAATATTTATCTACCTCGAATCGTTACGCAACTAAAAATAATTGTTTTCGGTACTACTGGCCCATTGAGTTTTGTTTTCATCACACATCTGTAGCTTCAAATGTGTATGTTTTGTTGAACAAAAAACTTTTTCTAGAAATAAATTTGCAAATTATTTATTAAAAACCATTTAATAAAATAGTACTGTTTCTGTTAAAAAAAATAACTATTAATTTTAATAATAAAACATGGAAAATCATTATAACCAAGAGCTTATGTAACTCCATCAACTAAACCAACTCGAACACTCCAAATTAAGAAATAAACAGTAAAAAACATTCATTAGAGAAAACATAATTAACGAACGATCAAAGCGAGTTGAATGCAGTGCGTAAGAAGTCAGATAAGTTGGACGTAGGACTTCTCCAGTGTGACATCCAACTTTTTTTCATTCATCCCAAGTGGAAGCTTTTGAAAAATTTTAAAATTGAATTCATTCATTCCATTCCCTCAAAACATTTTGTATGTCACATTTTGGGTTATGAAAATTTTTCTGAAGTGAGTAACATTTGGAGGATGTTTATTGCTAACCGCTTTGACATTTTATTTGATTATAAACATATCTGAAAATGTTGACTGGTCTTATTATAGCATAAGCTGCACTGTTGAAAATTTAGTTGCCTTTGTGGAGAAGAGTGCTAACATTCACGCTGTTCAAAAGTGTGCGTATGCTGTCAATTTTGTCTGGATATGTCGACGAACCACATCAATGACACTCTCTCCACACGATCAAGTAAATGTCAGGTGAGCGAGTTGGCAGCGCTCGTCATGAGATTTAATTACACGCGCAAAATTTGTCTCCGCTGGAGAAACTTTTATTTGAAAAAAATTTTGGTTTTATTTTATTTAAAGGAAGTAAACTGGTATAAAAAATGAGCTTAGGCAAAATTTAAATAATTTAAACCACAAAAATATAATGGGACATATACATCTTGCTAAATTGTAGGTATGTAGATTACAATAAAAAATTTAAACCAAACCATACCACATCCGCGCTTTTGCATAACCGAGTATTAACATTTTTAAAAAGTAAATTTTTGTATTTCTAGTTTTCACTTTTCTTGTTTGTACATTTTATTTTTTTGGTTCATTAGTATTCAAACTTTGAAAAATTTTTACTATGTCAAATAATTTGCGGTTAGTAAAAGTGTAAATTATTATCCGTAGAGGAAATTCAAACACAAACATAATCATAAAATGATAATGGGATAATGGGATAAAATGATAATGAAAAATGATAAAATAATAAGCATAGGCCTATATCAAAATTTAATCATATGTTCAAAAACCAACAAAATATTCTTCAAAGTCTAAATAAGAACAGAAACTAAAACATTTTATGTTAAATAAAAATAAACAATAAATGAATGAGATAGAGTGAATTAACATAATAATAACTTATAACTGTAGAACGTAGAAGCGCAAATAACGTTGATACTGCTGCTGTTGTGTTGCTGAAAGTTTGTGATAGCATCATTTTTAGTGCATTTTATGAAAGAGAAAATTGACGCAAGTGTAAAAACTGGAAACTACTGCATGGACATGACGAAGTTACGTCGCAGTGGGAAGAAGCGTTTCTTTGTTAGGCAGCTTCCAGGCGTAGAAAAGCATCTCGTTCATCATTCCCCATCCAACCTGCAGCTCTCTGCACAGACAATCTTGACTTACTAGTCCGACAGGAGCAAATGAATCGTATGCTAATTGGTTTGCTACTGAACATGCTGAAAATAAAAATGTTCACATGAACATACCTTGAAGATGTTGGTGAGTAAATTATTACTATTTAAGATTTTGGTTAAGCGTACAAATGTATCTTGTGCTTGAATCATTAAAAAAATTTGTAAATCTTTGAAAAGCCTTAAGCTGGGCGGCAAGATTGTGTATAGTTGAAAATCTGGTCTAATAGTTGCAGCAACGTGATTCGAATGCCAAGAGATCCTTCCCAACTGTATGTAATGTGTACAAGGTTAAAAACAGTATGTAATGTGTACAAGGTGCGGATTTGCTCGTATTCAAATGCGTTGCGTGTGTATTTGTTGAAACCTGTGAACAAATTAAAATAAAATGAATATGAATATCTAAAAAAAAGTCATATGTAAAAATGCTTTTGATATCAATATAAACACACTGACGCTGGTGTTCATTAGTAGTTTTGTTGTTTTTTTTTGACGACAAGAAGCTTTCAGAACATGAATTTGTTCAGTTGGGGAATGTTAAATTAGCAGAATAAAGTATAAAAACAAATCATGATATTTACTTCCTATGTTTACAATGTTGCGAATGTTGAGAAAATTTTACGCGATATTTTTATGAAGTTTCAACTTATTGGCACTCACTCCTCAATGATGAACACCCAACGTCTTGGTAATATGTTAGTTTCAGTGGCGAACTTGGAGGGGCCGGGCTATGAGCAGTTATTATATTAAACTCAGTTTTCAAACACAAAAACTCCGTTTTATGTGAAAAATTTTACAAACATTTGCACGATCAAAAAAAGTCAACAGGTAATTTTGATTTTGGCCACACCAGCAAATATATGGACGTTTTATACTCCACCTCCTTTTAATTTCAAGTTTTGAGTTCACACTCTGTCAATCTTGTTCAGATCCTCCCCTGTTAGTTTTAATATCATTCTATTTTTCCTTTAATACTTTATAATTCCATAACGGAGTTTCATGTTTTTTAGTTTTTATTATTTCTTTGTTATGTCCTGCTTCATCTAGATCAACTCTTGCCCATGAGTTAACATGATTTGTTTACTTGTAAAACAAAAACTTCCATGACATTTGTCACATCCAAAAAGCAGTTAACGTACTTTTCTATATAATTAGAATAGTTGATTACGGTAAAACTAAAATAAGATCACTGATGTGAACACTAGAAACGATCTTGTGAAATTCGTTACAGTTTTTTATAGATAACGGAGAATAAAAATTTAATCACATCGACAGATAATTAACCACACCAAACAGGCTTGGCAGTGGGAAAACATCACGTGATATCAATTCACTTGAAATATTAATTTACGAAGTTCATTTATTCCCCAGCAGAGTTTGAAATAAACATTGGATGTAAGATTCATCGATGTAAGAGGCTCATACATTGCGTCGGTTGGTGTGTTTTCCATTTACGTGCCGGTACATCAAACTGATGTCTAAGTCAAACAGATCTGAATGGTTAATAAGTATCTATCTCGTTGATTCATCTATTTAAGGCTGCAACATCCACACTCCTCATAGAAAGGAGTCATCTTCACTAACAAATTGCAATTTCCAAATACTTTATAATTTATAGTTGTTTATTTATTTATTTGTTTAAAAATATATATTTTTATTCAGTTTGAGTTATTTGTTTGTGTAATCCTTTATACATGTGTGTGTGCGTGTGTATGTTTGTGCGTGTGTGTGT